CCAAACCTGACCAGGATAGAATGTACCAATCACTGAGGAGAACACCACTATCACCAAACCTGACCAGGATAGAATGTACCAATCACTGAGGAGAACACCACTATCACCAAACCTGACCAGGATAGAATGTACCAATCACTGAGGAGAACACCACTATCACCAAACCTGACCAGGATAGAATGTACCAATCACTGAGGAGAACACCACTATCACCAAACCTGACCAGGATAGAATGTACCAATCACTGAGGAGAACACCACTATCACCAAACCTGACCAGGATAGAATGTACCAATCACTGAGGAGGACACCACTATCACCAAACCTGACCAGGATAGAATGTACCAATCACTGAGGAGGACACCACTATCACCAAACCTGACCAGGATAGAATGTACCAATCACTGAGGAGGACACCACTATCACCAAACCTGACCAGGATAGAATGTACCAATCACTGAGGAGGACACCACTATCACCAAACCTGACCAGGATAGAATGTACCAATCACTGAGGAGGACACCACTATCACCAAACCTGACCAGGATAGAATGTACCAATCACTGAGGAGGACACCACTATCACCAAACCTGACCAGGATAGAATGTACCAATCACTGAGGAGAACCCCACTATCTCCAAACCTGACCAGGATAGAATGACCAAGTAAACAACTGATCAGAACCAGGTCAGAGAATCAATACAAAGCCCACTCTATATAGGCATGCTGCTTAGTTCAAGGTATTATCCAGGAAGGTCACAGACCTACATCTATATTTAGATCCTCCTGATTCATTATCCTTATTGCCATCAGGCAAATTACAATATTGATTTTGCTTTCCATTGGACAGATAAGTTTTTGGTAAAATTCCAAGATTATTAGGCTAAATAAATTAGACCCTGTAACAACCTCTGATTACTGATAAACATGTGTGTGACCTAGATGTACAACTGGTGTATGTGTATGAAATATGTATATAAAATTATGATAATGTACAATATACAATGTATGACATGTGCATAACTTAAATGTATGGCACATGCATATGACCTGTATGTATGACTTACATGTATATATATATGACCTGTATGTATGACCTATGTATACTCCTATGCACCACATACTGCCAGTTCATTATCACTGGTGAGCTAGTCCCAATATAGTATCATTACATAGAAATAGGAGCCTGTGTACCCTACACTAGATGTACAGTACCACATACTGGCTGTTCATTATCACTGGTGAGCTGGTCCCAATATTGTATCATTACATAGAAATAGGAGCCTGTGTACCCTACACTAGATGTACAGTACCACATACTGCCAGTTCATTATCACTGGTGAGCTGGTCCCAATATTGTATCTTTACATAGAAATAGGAGCCTGTGTACCCTACACTAGATGTACAGTACCACATACTGCCAGTTCATTATCACTGGTGAGCTGGTCCCAATATTGTATCTTTACATAGAAATAGGAGCCTGTGTACCCTACACTAGATGTACAGTACCACATACTGCCAGTTCATTATCACTGGTGAGCTGGTCCCAATATTGTATCTTTACATAGAAATAGGAGCCTGTGTACCCTACACTAGATGTACAGTACCACATACTGCCAGTTCATTATCACTGGTGAGCTGGTCCCAATATTGTATCTTTACATAGAAATAGGAGCCTGTGTACCCTACACTAGATGTACAGTACCACATACTGCCAGTTCATTATCACTGGTGAGCTGGTCCCAATATTGTATCTTTACATAGAAATAGGAGCCTGTGTACCCTACACTAGATGTACAGTACCACATACTGCCAGTTCATTATCACTGGTGAGCTGGTCCCAATATTGTATCTTTACATAGAAATAGGAGCCTGTGTACCCTACACTAGATGTACAGTACCACATACTGCCAGTTCATTATCACTGGTGAGCTGGTCCCAATATTGTATCTTTACATAGAAATAGGAGCCTGTGTACCCTACACTAGATGTACAGTACCACATACTGCCAGTTCATTATCACTGGTGAGCTGGTCCCAATATTGTATCTTTACATAGAAATAGGAGCCTGTGTACCCTACACTAGATGTACAGTACCACATACTGCCAGTTCATTATCACTGGTGAGCTGGTCCCAATATTGTATCTTTACATAGAAATAGGAGCCTGTGTACCCTACACTAGATGTACAGTACCACATACTGCCAGTTCATTATCACTGGTGAGCTGGTCCCAATATTGTATCTTTACATAGAAATAGGAGCCTGTGTACCCTACACTAGATGTACAGTACCACATACTGCCAGTTCATTATCACTGGTGAGCTGGTCCCAATATTGTATCTTTACATAGAAATAGGAGCCTGTGTACCCTACACTAGATGTACAGTACCACATACTGCCAGTTCATTATCACTGGTGAGCTGGTCCCAATATTGTATCTTTACATAGAAATAGGAGCCTGTGTACCCTACACTAGATGTACAGTACCACATACTGCCAGTTCATTATCACTGGTGAGCTGGTCCCAATATTGTATCTTTACATAGAAATAGGAGCCTGTGTACCCTACACTAGATGTACAGTACCACATACTGCCAGTTCATTATCACTGGTGAGCTGGTCCCAATATTGTATCTTTACATAGAAATAGGAGCCTGTGTACCCTACACTAGATGTACAGTACCACATACTGCCAGTTCATTATCACTGGTGAGCTGGTCCCAATATTGTATCTTTACATAGAAATAGGAGCCTGTGTACCCTACACTAGATGTACAGTACCACATACTGCCAGTTCATTATCACTGGTGAGCTGGTCCCAATATTGTATCTTTACATAGAAATAGGAGCCTGTGTACCCTACACTAGATGTACAGTACCACATACTGCCAGTTCATTATCACTGGTGAGCTGGTCCCAATATTGTATCTTTACATAGAAATAGGAGCCTGTGTACCCTACACTAGATGTACAGTACCACATACTGCCAGTTCATTATCACTGGTGAGCTGGTCCCAATATTGTATCTTTACATAGAAATAGGAGCCTGTGTACCCTACACTAGATGTACAGTACCACATACTGCCAGTTCATTATCACTGGTGAGCTGGTCCCAATATTGTATCTTTACATAGAAATAGGAGCCTGTGTACCCTACACTAGATGTACAGTACCACATACTGCCAGTTCATTATCACTGGTGAGCTGGTCCCAATATTGTATCTTTACATAGAAATAGGAGCCTGTGTACCCTACACTAGATGTACAGTACCACATACTGCCAGTTCATTATCACTGGTGAGCTGGTCCCAATATTGTATCTTTACATAGAAATAGGAGCCTGTGTACCCTACACTAGATGTACAGTACCACATACTGCCAGTTCATTATCACTGGTGAGCTGGTCCCAATATTGTATCTTTACATAGAAATAGGAGCCTGTGTACCCTACACTAGATGTACAGTACCACATACTGCCAGTTCATTATCACTGGTGAGCTGGTCCCAATATTGTATCTTTACATAGAAATAGGAGCCTGTGTACCCTACACTAGATGTACAGTACCACATACTGCCAGTTCATTATCACTGGTGAGCTGGTCCCAATATTGTATCTTTACATAGAAATAGGAGCCTGTGTACCCTACACTAGATGTACAGTACCACATACTGCCAGTTCATTATCACTGGTGAGCTGGTCCCAATATTGTATCTTTACATAGAAATAGGAGCCTGTGTACCCTACACTAGATGTACAGTACCACATACTGCCAGTTCATTATCACTGGTGAGCTGGTCCCAATATTGTATCTTTACATAGAAATAGGAGCCTGTGTACCCTACACTAGATGTACAGTACCACATACTGCCAGTTCATTATCACTGGTGAGCTGGTCCCAATATTGTATCTTTACATAGAAATAGGAGCCTGTGTACCCTACACAAGATGTACAGTACCACATACTGGCAGTTCATTATCACTGGTGAGCTGGTCCCAATATTGTATCTTTACATAGAAATAGGAGCCTGTGTACCCTACACTAGATGTACAGTACCACATACTGCCAGTTCATTATCACTGGTGAGCTGGTTATTAATTAAGACGTCTGTTTTATAGTGATCTAGATACTGAGTTATTAAGATGTCTGTTTTATAGTGACCTAGGTAGTGAGTTATTAAGATTTCTGTTTTATAGTAACCTAGATAGTGAGTTACTAAGATGTCTGTTTTATAGTGACCTAGGTAGTGAGTTATTAAGAATTCTGTTTTATAGTAACCTAGGTAGTGAGTTATTAAGATGTCTGTTTTATAGTGACCTAGGTAATGAGTTATTAAGATTTCTGTTTTATAGTAACCTAGGTAGTGAGTTATTAAGAGGACTGCTATATAGTGACCTAGGTAGTGAGTTATTCAGACCTTTTTATATAGTGACTTAGAAAGTAAGTTATTAAGACTTCTGTATTACAAGAGGCCCAGAGGGCCTGTATCGCTCACCTGGATACCTAAGCAATCATGGCAAACTATTCTCTAAATGAGATCAAGGGAATATGCCAGACCCTAAGGCCAATCCTTGTAGCAAAGCTATATTAGATTTTTCATGCCCAGCAATTTTATGTATGGTTATGAGGTGGGGATCTCAACTGTTTCCAAGCTTTGACTCAGAAACTAGAGTTGTTGCCAGACTCCAGGATCAATTCTAATATCATGACTGCATTTGTCTCTTTTTGCCAAGCATTTGTATATATAGTTTTGGGGTGGGGATCTCAACCGTTTCAAAGTTATGACCCAGGGGCCAAGTCTGCAAGGGTGGGGCAGACCCTGGGATCAATTCTAATATCATGACTGCATTCGTCTCTTTATGCCCAACAATTGTATATATAGTTTTGGGGTGGGGATATTAACCATTTCAAAGTTATGACCCAGGGGTTAAGTCTC